ACACAGAGACCCATAGAGATGCACAGAGACACATATAGACACACAGAGACCCATAGAGATGCATAGAGACCCATAGAGATACATAGAGACCCATAGAGATAGATAGAGACCCATAGAGATACATAGAGACCCATAGAGATACACAGATACCCACAGAGACACACAGAGACCCACAGAGATACACAGAGACCCATAGAGATACACAGAGACCCATAGAGATACACAGAGACCCACAGAGATACACAGAGACCCATAGAGACACACAGAGACCCATAGAGATACACAGAGACCCATAGAGATACATCTAGAGTCTAGACCCATAGAGATACATAGAGACCCACAGAGATACACAGAGACCCGTAGAGAAACACAGAGACTCATAGAGATACACAGAGACCCACAGAGATACACAGAGATACACAGAGACCCATAGAGATACATAGAGACCCATAGAGATACACAGAGACCTATAAAGATACACAGAGACCCATAGAGATACTCAGAGACCCATAGAGATACACAGAGACCCACAGAGATACACAGAGACCCATAGAGATGCATAGAGATCCACAGAGATACACAGAGACCCATAGACATACACAGAGACCCATAGAGATACACAGAGACCCATAGAGATACATAGAGATCCACAGAGACACACAGAGACCCACAGAGATACACAGAGACCCACAGAGATACACAGAGACACATAGATATACACAAAGACCAACAGAGATACACAGACCCATAGAGATACACAGATACCCACAGAGATACACAGAGACCCATAGACATACACAGAGATACACAGAGACCCATAGAGATACACAGAGACCCATAGAGATATACAGAGACCCACAGAGATACACAGAGACCCATAGAGATACACAGAGACCCATAGAGATACATCTAAATCCATAGAGATACATAGAGACCCATAGAGATACACAGAGACCCATAGAGATACACATAGACACATAGAAATACACAGAGACCCATAGAGATGCACAGAGACACATATAGACACACAGAGACCCATAGAGATGCATAGAGACCCATAGAGATACATAGAGACCCATAGAGATAGATAGAGACCCATAGAGATACATAGAGACCCATAGAGATACACAGATACCCACAGAGACACACAGAGACCCACAGAGATACACAGAGACCCATAGAGATACACAGAGACCCATAGAGATACACAGAGACCCACAGAGATACACAGAGACCCATAGAGACACACAGAGACCCATAGAGATACACAGAGACCCATAGAGATACATCTAGAGTCTAGACCCATAGAGATACATAGAGACCCACAGAGATACACAGAGACCCGTAGAGAAACACAGAGACTCATAGAGATACACAGAGACCCACAGAGATACACAGAGATACACAGAGACCCATAGAGATACATAGAGACCCATAGAGATACACAGAGACCTATAAAGATACACAGAGACCCATAGAGATACTCAGAGACCCATAGAGATACACAGAGACCCACAGAGATACACAGAGACCCATAGAGATGCATAGAGATCCACAGAGATACACAGAGACCCATAGACATACACAGAGACCCATAGAGATACACAGAGACCCATAGAGATACATAGAGATCCACAGAGACACACAGAGACCCACAGAGATACACAGAGACCCACAGAGATACACAGAGACACATAGATATACACAAAGACCAACAGAGATACACAGACCCATAGAGATACACAGATACCCACAGAGATACACAGAGACCCATAGACATACACAGAGATACACAGAGACCCATAGAGATACACAGAGACCCATAGAGATATACAGAGACCCACAGAGATACACAGAGACCCATAGAGATACACAGAGACCCATAGAGATACACAGACTCATAGAGACACACAGATACCCATAGAGATACACAGAGACCCATAGAGATACACAGAGACCCACAGAGATACACAAAGACCCACAGAGATATGTGAGTGAGTGTGTGAGTGAGTGTGTGAGTGATTGAGTGTGTGAGTGAGTGTGTGAGTGAGTGACTGTGTGAGTGAGTGTGAGTGAGTGTGTGCGTGAGTGTGAGTGTGTGTGAGTGTGTGAGTGAGTGAGTGTGTGAGTGAGTGACTGTGTGAGTGAGTGTGTGAGTGAGTGTGTGAGTGTGTGACTGAGTGAGTGTGTGAGTGAGTGTGTGAGTGAGTGTATGAGTGAGTGAGTGTGTGAGTGAGTGGGTGAGTGTGTGATTGAGTGTTTGAGTTAATGTGTGAGTGAGTGTGAGTGTGTGACTGTGTAAGTGAGTGAGTGGGTGAGTGACTGTGTGAGTGAGTGTGTGTATGAGTGAGTGACTGTGTGTGAGTGAGTAAGTGTGTGAGTGATTGTGTGACTGAGTGAGTGAGTGTGTGAGTGTGTGAGTGACTGTGTAAGTGTGTGAGTATGTGAGTGTGTGAGTGAGTGAGTGACTGTGTGAGTGTGTGAGTGAGTGTGTAAGTGTGTGAGTGAGTGAGTGTGTGAGTGAGTGTGAGTGAGTGTGTGAGTGAGTGTATGAGTGAGTGAGTGTGTGAGTGAGTGTGTGAGTGAGTGAGTGTGTGAGTGACTGTGTGACTGAGTGAGTGAGTGACTGTGTGAGTGACTGCGTCAGTGAGTGTGTGAGTGAGTGTGTGAGTGAGTGAGTGACTGTGTGAGTGTGTTAGTGAGTGTGAGTGTGTGAGTCACTGAGTGAGTGAGTGACTGTGTGAGTGACTGTGTGAGTGAGTGTGTGAGTGACTGAGTGAGCGAGTGAGTGACTGTGTGAGTGACTGTGTGAGTGAGTGTGTGAGTGAGTGACTGTGTGAGTGTGTTAGTGAGTGAGTGTGTGAGTGACTGAGTGAGTGAGTGACTGTGTGAGTGAGTGTGTGAGTGAATGAGTGACTGTGTGAGTGTGCTAGTGAGTGAGTGACTGAGTGAGTGAGTGTGTGAGTGTGTGAGTGAGTGTGAGTGAGTGAGTGTGTGAGTGAGTGTGTGAGTGTGTGAGTGACTGTGTGACTGAGTGAGTGAGTGACTGTGTGAGTGACTGCGTGAGTGAGTGTGTGAGTGAGTGACTGTGTGACTGAGTGAGTGACTGTGTGAGAGTGTTAGTGAGTGAGTGTGTGAGTGACTGTGTGAGTGTGTTAGTGAGTGAGTGTGAGTGTGTTAGTGAGTGTGTGAGTGAGTGAGTGACTGTGTGAGTGTGTTAGTGAGTGAGTGTGAGTGTGTTAGTGAGTGAGTGTGTGAGTGAGTGACTGTGTGAGTGTGTTAGTGAGTGAATGAGTGAGTGTGAATGAGTGATTGAGTGAGTGAGTGACTGTGTGAGTGACTGCGTGAGTGAGTGTGTGAGTGAGTGACTGTGTGAGTGTGTTAGTGAGTGAGTGACTGTGTGAGTGTGTTAGTGAGTGAGTGACTGTGTGAGTGACTGTGTGTGTTAGTGAGTGAGTGACTGTGTGAGTTAGTGAGTGACTGTGTGACTGTGTGAGTGACTGTGTGAGTGTGTTAGTGAGTGAGTGAGTGACTGTGTGAGTGTGTTAGTGAGTGTGTGAGTGACTGAGTGAGTGACTGTGTGTGTTAGTGAGTGAGTGACTGAGTGAGTGACTGAGTGAGTGAGTGACTGAGTGAGTGACGCACGATGGGATGGGTGGTCAGCAACCAACGCCTACACGGCCGTCTTTGTTCCCCCCTCCACACAGCCCCCCCCACCACCCCCCACCACCCCCCACCACCCCCCACCACTCCCCACCACCACTCCCCACCACCACTACCCACCACCACCACCCCCCACCAACAGTGGCGTGCGTCATCGTCGATAAACGATTATCTCAAGAGGCGTAGTGAGAGGGAGGTGGAGGAGGTGGAGGGGGGAGGTGGTGGGAGTGGAAGAGGTGGAGGGAGTGGAGGATGGAGGAGGAGGTGGAGGAGGTGGAGGGAGTGGAGGGAGTGGAGGATGGAGGAGGAGGTGGAGGAGGAGGTGGAGGAGGTGGAGCAGGGTGGAGGAGGAGGTGGTGGAGGAGGAGGAGGTGGAGCAGGGTGGAGGAGGAGGTGGAGGAGGAGGTGGAGGGAGTGGAGGATGGAGGAGGAGGTGGAGCAGGATGGAGGAGGAGGAGGTGGAGGAGGAGGAGGTGGAGCAGGGAGGAGGAGGAGGTGGAGGAGGAGGTGGAGGGAGTGGAGGATGAGGAGGAGGAGGTGGAGGGAGTGGACGTTGGAGGATGGAGCAGGAGGAGGTGGAGGAGGTGGAGGAGGTGGAGGGAGTGGAGGAGGAGGAAGAGGTGGAGCAGGTGGAACAGGGTGGAGGAGGAGGTGGAGGAGGTGGAGGAGGAGGTGGAGGGAGTGGAGGAGGTGGAGCAGGGTGGAGGAGGAGGTGGAGGAGGAGGTGGAGGGAGTGGAGGATGGAGGAGGAGGTGGAGCAGGAGGTGGAGGGAGTGGAGGATGGAGGATGAGGTGGAGGAGGAGGTGGAGGGAGTGGAGGATGGAGGATGGAGGATGAGTAGGAGGAGGAGGTGTAGGACGTCATCGTCGTGAGATGACGCGACTGGGTGCGCCTCCTCTCCCCGGGGCGACGTTTTCGAGGCTCCCCGCGGCCGTGGAGGGCGGCGACCCCCACGGCACCGCCAGCCGCTCGCCCATAAAAAGGCGACGACTCTCAAGCAGTGGCATCACTCCGCCTGACACCTCCAGGACCACTCCAGGACCACTCCAGGACCACCCCAGGACCACTCCAGGACCACCCCAGGACCACTCCAGGACCACTCCAGGACCACTCCAGGACCACTCCAGGACCACTCCAGGACCACTCCAGGACCACCCCAGGACCACTCCAGGACCACCCCAGGACCACTCCAGGACCACTCCAGGACCACTCCAGGACCACTCCAGGACCACTCCAGGACCACTCCAGGACCACTCCAGGACCACTCCAGGACCACTCCAGGACCACTCCAGGACCACTCCAGGACCACTCCAGGACCACTCCAGGACCACTCCAGGACCACTCCAGGACCACTCCAGGACCACCCCAGGACCACTCCAGGACCACTCCAGGACCACTCCAGGACCACTCCAGGACCACTCCAGGACCACTCCAGGACCACTCCAGGACCACCCCAGGACACCGCCGCTTCCCCTCTGCGTCCTCTCCACGTGCCCACCATGGCTCAGAGCATCGTGCCCCTGGTGGTCGTGTTGCTCGCCGGCTCGCTGGCTCTCAGCAACGCGAACGTGAGTCCTGGACCCTACGGGAGGGGAGCCTTAGTCTGGCTCTGTGAGTCTCAGTGATTGACACTGAACCCTGTGGGAGCCTTAGTCTGGCTCTGTGAGCATCAGTGATTGACACTGAACCCTGTGGGAGCCTTAGTCTGGCTCTGTGAGCATCAGTGATTAACACTGAACCCTGTGGGAGCCTTAGTCTGGCTCTGTGAGCATCAGTGATTAACACTGAACCCTGTGGGAGCCTTAGTCTGGCTCTGTGAGCATCAGTGATTGACACTGGACCCAACGGGAGGGAGCCTTAGCCTGGCTCTGTGAGCATCAGTGATTGACACTGAACCCTGTGGGAGCCTTAGTCTGGCTCTGTGAGCATCAGTGATTAACACTGAACCCTGTGGGAGCCTTAGTCTGGCTCTGTGAGCATCAGTGATTAACACTGAACCCTGTGGGAGCCTTAGCCTGGCTCTGTGAGTCTCAGTGATTGACACTGAACCCTGTGGGAGCCTTAGTCTGGCTCTGTGAGCATCAGTGATTGACACTGAACCCTGTGGGAGCCTTAGTCTGGCTCTGTGAGCATCAGTGATTAACACTGAACCCTGTGGGAGCCTTAGTCTGGCTCTGTGAGCATCAGTGATTAACACTGAACCCTGTGGGAGCCTTAGCCTGGCTCTGTGAGTCTCAGTGATTAAAACTGAACCCTGTGGGAGCCTTAGCCTGGCTCTGTGAGTCTCAGTGATTGACACTGAACCCTGTGGGAGCCTTAGCCTGGCTCTGTGAGCATCAGTGATTAACACTGAACCATGTGGGAGCCTTAGTCTGGCTCTGTGAGTCTCAGTGATTAACACTGAACCCTGTGGGAGCCTTAGTCTGGCTCTGTGAGCATCAGCGATTAACACAGAACCCTGTGGGAGCCTTAGCCTGGCGCTGTGAGTCTCATTGATAAACACTGAACCCTGTGAGAGCCTTAGTCTGGCTCTGTGAGCATCAGTGATTAACACTGAACCCTGTGGGAGCCTTAGCCTGGCGCTGTGAGTCTCAGTGATTGACACTGGACCCTACGGGAGGGAGCCTTAGTCTGGCTCTGTGAGCATTAGTGATTGACACTGAACCCTGTGGGAGCCTTAGCCCGGCTCTGTGAGTCTCAGTGATTGACACCGGACCCTACGTGGATGCTCGACATCCGTGCGGCTGAAGCTCAATCGAAGGGAAAAATAAACCCCCCACCCCCCACGGCAAATCTGATGCCATGGAAGTTTTAAAGTGCCCCACGAAGACCAAACGTTCTCGTGGGGCACTTTAAACGTCGACACGTGGCAGGGTGGGGGTGTTGGGGTCTTCAAATCAACAATCTTGGGTTTTCAGACGTCTAACCCCATGTTATTTGTGTTTACTGAAAGCTGTCCTGGGTAACACAATTTCTAGCTTTATACCCTGTAGGGCAGTAGCCCCGAGAAGGGGTAGGAGACCTGAGGGACCGTCCATATATGACGTCACGAGGGGGGGTCAGACATTTGTGACGATGTGTGACGAGAGAGGGGGGAGGAGGGGTGTTTGAGAAACGTGACGTCACATCAAAATGCGCAACTTTAAATGAATGTAGAATTAAAGTTTTGATTTTAAGTTGTCGTGAATGTAGGGGATTCGTATTCTTGGTTCTTTCTGTAAAGTCACCACCACGTAGAAGGGAAACAATAAAATAATGAAAATATAAAACAATAAAATTATTATTCTTGGTTCTTTCGGTAAAGTCACCACGTAGAAGGGAAACAATAAAATAATAAAAATATAAAGCAATAAATTATTTTTCTTGGTTCTTTAGGTAAAGTCACCACGCAGAAGGGAAACAATAAAATAATAAAAATATAAAGCAATAACATTATTGTAAAACAATAAAATTATTATTCTTGGTTCTTTCGATAAAGTCACCACGTAGAAGGGAAACAATAAACTAATAAAAATATAAAACAATAAAATTATTATTCTTGGTTCTTTCGGTAAAGTCACCACCACGTAGAAGGGAAACAATAAAATAATAAAAATATAAAACAATAAAATTAGTGTAAAACAATAAAATTATTATTCTTGGTTCTTTCGGTAAAGTCACCACGTAGAAGGGAAACAATAAACGAATAAAAATATAAAACAATAAATTATTATTCTTGGTTCTTTAGGTAAAGTCACAACCACGTAGAAGGGAAACAATAAAATAATAAAAATATAAAGAAAGAAAAATTATTGTAAAACACTAAAATTATTATTCTTGGTTCTTTCGGTAAAGTCACCACGCAGAAGGGAAACAATAAAATAATAAAAATATAAAACAATAAAAAAAATTGTAAAACAATTAAATTATTATTCTTGGTTCTTTTGGTAAAGTCACCACGTAGAAGGGAAACAGTAAAATAATAAAAATATAAAACAATAAAATTTTCTTGCTGTGGTTTTCACACCTGATGATGATTGCTGCTTGGTGTTGCAGTCGAAACGTCGTGAGAATTTTATTGTTTTATATTTTTTATTATTTTATTGTTTCCCTTCTTCGTGGTGACTTTACCGAAAGAACCAAGAATATAAATATATAATTGTTATAACAACACTAATTGTTATAACAACACTCGTACAACATTAGAGTGCAGCGCCACGTGAAATACGCACTACAATGACAATAGTTTAAAGCGATTTGAATCATGTTTTATATTCAAAGTGGAAATATGGTTGTGGGGGGGGGGGGAGGGGCAGAGCTTTGTGACGTCATATTTGGGGGGGTCAAAAATTGTTCAAAATCGCGTGACGTCATTTATGGACGGCCCCTTATACAGCTGAAGGTCTCTATGTTAATAGGTGGTGTTGACATTTGACGATTCCGATGATGTTTTGAGTTCCTCTCCCATCGTGTGCTCATTCTTTTCTTTGTTTACATTTTACAGGGAAGTGGCGGTGGATTTAACAACCGTAAGACCCACAGACTACTCACACAGTAGAGACCCACAGACTACTCACACAGTAGAGACCCACAACCTACTCACACAGTAGAGACCCACAGACTACTCACACAGTAGAGACCCACAGACTACTCACACAGTAGAGACCCATAGACTACTCACACAGTAGAGACCCTCAGACTACTCACACAGTAGAGACCCATAGACTACTCACACAGTAGAGACCCATAGACTACTCACACAGTAGAGACCCGTAGACTACTCACACAGTAGAGACCCACAGACTACTCACACAGTAGGGACCCACAGACTACTCACACAGTAGAGACCCACAGACTACTCACACAGTAGAGACCCATAGACTACTCACACAGTAGAGACCCACAGACTACTCACACAGTAGAGACCCACAGACTACTCACACAGTAGAGACCCACAGACTACTCACACAGTAGAGACCCACAGACTACTCACACAGTAGAGACCCACAGACTACTCACACAGTAGAGACCCACAGACTACTCACACAGTAGAGACCCATAGACTACTCACACAGAGACCCATAGACTACTCACACAGTAGAGACCCACAGACTACTCACACAGTAGAGACCCACAGACTACTCACACAGTAGAGACCCATAGACTACTAACACAGTAGAGACCCACAGACTACTCACAGAGACCCATAGACTACTCACACAGTAGAGACCCACAGACTACTCACACAGCAGAGACCTACAGACTACTCACACAGTAGAGACCCACAGACTACTCACACAGTAGAGACCCACAGACTACTCACACAGTAGAGACCCATAGACTACCCACACAGTAGAGACCCATAGACCACTCACACAGTAGAGACCCACAGACTACTCACACAGTAGAGACCCACAGACTACTCACACAGTAGAGACCCACAGACTACTCAAACATAGAGACCCACAGACTACTCACACAGTAGAGACCCATAGACTACTCACACAGATACCCATAGACTCATCGCACAGAGACCCATAGCTTCATCACACAGAGACCCATAGACTCATCACACCAAGACCCACGTGCTCATCACATAGAGACCCACAGACTCATCACATAGAGACCCGCTAACAGCTCCACCTTTGTCTCCTGCAGTGGTGAACCCGGTATTCTGTCAGAGCAAGGCTGATGGTCTGTACGCAGACCCCTTAGACTCCCACAGCTTCTACCACTGCTCCAATTCCCAGACGTACCGCAAGCAATGCCCAGCCAACCTGGTGTTCAACCCGGCCATCAGCGTGTGCGACTGGCCCGGTACGCATCTCACATTCACCCCATCCACTCACTCATCCATTCACCCATTCACTCATTCACCCACCCATTCATTCACCTGCTCGCTTGTACACCTACTCAACAACAACTCCAACAACCGCCATTCACCACTAAGTGGCGGTGACGTCACCACGACGCTTGTGCCAGGCCACGTGCACCTTGAGGCCACGTGAAGTGTCGAACGCCCGCTGGCAGGAGGTCACGGGGCAGACCCAGCAGGTGCCTAGGGGTCGACTGACTGAGATGACTGAGACGACTGGCTGATGCACCACCTGTGCCCCCCTATTGTGCCAACTTGCTGTGCTTTAGCCACCCGGCGCTCCGCTCGTTGTTGTGAGCGCCATGAGGGGAATGGCCAATCGAAATTGGCCTTCCCCCCCGCCCCCCCCCCCCCCAGGGCACTGCTCACCACAGCGTTACCGTCCGGCACAAGCTCATTCACACACTCACACAATCATTCACGCAAATACACACACACTCAGTAACCCATTCACCTCGCCACTCGTTCACTCACCCACCCACTCACTCATTCGCCGACTCACTCATACTCCCCCTCATTAATTCACTCACTAATTCGCTCATTCGCCCACTCGTTCACCCACCCATAGACTCGCTTTGCATAGAGACCCACAGACTACACATACAGAGACCCACAGACTATTCACACAGTAGAGACCCATAGACTACTCAAACAGTAGAGATCCACAGACTACTCACACAGTAGAGACCCATAGACTACTCGCAAAGTAGAGACCCACAGACTACCCACACAGTAGAGACCCATCGAATACTCACACAGTAGAGACCCACATACTACTCACACAGTAGAGACCCACAGACTACTCACACAGTAGAGACCCACAGACTACCCACACAGTAGAGACCCATAGACTACTCACACAGTAGAGACCCACAGTCTACTCACACAGTAGAGACCCACAGACTACTCACACAGTAGAGACCCACAGACTACTCACACAGTAGAGACCCATAGACTACTCACACAGTAGAGACCCATAGACTACTCACACAGTAGAGACCCACAGACTACTCACACAGTAGAGACCCACAGACTACTCACACAGTAGAGACCCACAGACTACTCACACAGTAGAGACCCACAGACTACTCACACAGTAGAGACCCACAGACTACTCACACAGTAGAGACCCACAGACTACTCACACAGTAGAGACCCACAGTCTACTCACACAGTAGAGACCCACAGACTACTCACACAGTAGAGACCCACAGACTACTCACACAGTAGAGACCCATAGACTACTCACACAGTAGAGACCCATAGACTACTCACACAGTAGAGACCCACAGACTACTCACATAGTAGAGACCCACAGACTACTCACACAGAGACCCATAGACTACTCACACAGTAGAGACCCACAGACTACTCACACAGAGACCCATAGACTACTCACACACTGAGTCTGTGTCTGTGTTGTGTGTGCAATTCCAGAAAAAGTCGCCCCAGTGACCACCCAGGGAATCACCGTACCACGTAAGCCCTCAACTCGTGTCAACTCGAGGCTTCACGGGGGACCTTTGTCTGTGTGTCTATAGGGCACTGCTGCTGCTACTCACAGCACTTGCCCCTACATCCCTGATAGAGGCTACACGGGGGACCTTTGTGTGTCTACAGGGCACTGCTGCTGCTACTCACAGGGCTTGCTCTGACAGCCCTGCTAGAGGCTACACGGGGAACCTTTGCATTTGTGTCGATAGCTGCTGCTGCTACTAACAGCACTTGCCCCTGCCGTCTGTTAGAGGCTACACGGGGCATCTTTGTCTGTGTGTGTATCTATAGGAGCTGGTCGCTCACCGCCACTTGCCCCCTTCCCTCTGCTAAGAGGCTACGCGGGTCACCTTTGCCTGTCGTGCGCAGCGTTCGTGGCGAACTTCTGCGAGGCCAAGGCGGACGGCATGTTCGCAGACTCGCAGAACAGCAACGCCTTCTACCACTGCTCCAACCACAACACCTACCACAAACTCTGCCAGCAGGGCCTGGTGTTCAACCAGGGGCTCGGAGCTTGCGTGTGGCCAAGCCAAGGTGAGTCGGCTGTCTGTGTGTGTGCTGTGTGTGGGTGCTGTGTGTGGGTCTGTGTGTGCTCTGCCTCTGTGTGTGTGTGTGCACGTGGTCCGGCAAAACAACCCCCCACCTCCTCGTGGTGCCGGACAGGCAACGCTGTCGTGGGCAGTGCTGTGGGGGGGAGGGCCGATTCCGATTGGCTCCTCCCCTCACGGCGTCTGTGACCACCACAGCTGCCAAAAAGTGGGCTCTGGATGGGTACGAGGGGCTGGTAACCCCTCCACCTTCAATTAATTACCGCTAAACCACGACGGAAATTTTTAACTAATAAGCTTTTGCCGGAGGCCCCGGGGGGACAGGCGTCTATGACGTCTCCTGGCCAAACCCCAAGTGGCGGAGCCAGGAGATTGAATCTCTACCCTCAGGGCTCCTCCAGAAACAACGAAAAGCCACTTCGTGTGGCCACGTGGAATGTTCAAACGCTCACTGCGGAGGAGAGGCTGCCACTCCTCTGTCGGGAGCTGGACCGGTACCGCCTGGATCTCTGTGGCATTCAGGAGGCCCGGTGGACCGGTTCTGGCTCCTGCCACCGTGAGGGGTGGACAGTCCTCTACTCGGGGCAGCAGACTGCCAAACAACAGGGAGTGGCTCTTCTTTTGAACAAAAGAATGAAGGGGGCGTGGGAGCGTGGTGGTGAGGTGTGGGAAGCTGTAAGCCCCAGGCTACTTTGAGCTCGCCTTCCCATCAACCGGAGGCGAGGAGTGGTGGTCGTGGTTACTTATGCCCCCACCGAACACGAACATCCGTGGAGGGATGCAGGCAAAGCCGATGAGTCAGATGCCTTCTATGACCTCCTGTCACAGGTGCTAGTTAAAGTCGCCCCTCAGAATAGAGTCATCTTGTTGGGTGACTTCAATGCCCGAGTTGGTCATGATGCTGGCACCTAGTCTGGAGTGATTGGAAGGCATGGGCCAGATCAGCTCAACAACAATGGTAGGAGGCTGCTAGATTTTTGTGCAGCCCATGTGCTTGTAATTACCGACAAGCTGTTCCGGCATCGGCGTATCCACACACCATCACAGATGCATGTTTGGTCCAAGCAAGAATATCTGCTGGACTGTATAGTGACGGAACATCGGATGCGGGCCCATGTCCTTGACACCAGGACCTACCATGGAGCTGATCTGCCCACTGACCATCGACTTGTCATCTGTAAGATGCGCCTGCCATTCTTCCACTCCGGTGGTGGGTGTACACCCAGGACCCAATTCAAACCCTTAGTGGCATGGTCTCAGCTAGCTGATGAAAGTTGCAAGCAGGAATTTCATCAACGCTTTTGGCTGGGGTCGGCATCGTCCCGCACTCCTCCTGATGTCGAGGGGAAATGGGCGAGGTTTAGGACTGTGGCTCATGCAGTTGCAATGGCTACATTGAGTACGCGGTCCAGACCTCCCCAGAGACCCTGCCTGACAGAGGAGGTGTTCCGCCTGGCTGAGAAAAAGCGACAGGCCCACTCTCATCATCTACAGCATCCCACATTGGAGAATGAGGAGGCTTACCACATCCTTCGCTTGGAGGTTCGGAGAGCCGTGAGGCGCTGCAAGGATGGGTGGTGGTCGCGGGTTGCTGAGGAGATGGAGTCTGCCTCAGTGGCCCGCGATCACAAATCGCTCTTTAATTCCATCAAAAAAGTACCCTGCAGTGCCACACCTATTACCATCATTAGGGGCAATAACGGTGATCCAATTTTCGACCCCCAGGAACAGGTTTGCTGATTTGCTGAGCATTTCTGTAAGGTCCTGGGGGAGAGGAAATCCCTCAGCCTGGAAAACATTGTGGCACAACGTGAGGATGACCCTTCTGAGGCTGCGGTGCCTCACATATTGGAAGAAGTCACCCCCTGTGAGTGGCTGGCTGAGGTGCCATCTGTTGATCAAGTACTGAAGGCGATCCGGAGTCTGAGACCAGGAAAGGCAGCGGGCAGAGATGATCTCCCAAGCGAAATGCTGAGGGAGGGTGGAGTTTGTGCACAGACTGCCCTATGACATCATAACAACAGTCTGGACCACTGGACGGGTTCCGCAGGATTGGAAGGATGCCCTGGTCGTCCCCCTCTTTAAGAAGGGGGACCGCACAGACTGTAACAACAACAGGGGTATCTCACTCGTCAGTGTACCGGGAAAGGTCCTGGCAAGGATTATTCAACATTGCCTTGCCAGGCACGCTGAGGAGAGGCTTGCGGAGCCCCAATGCGAGTTTCGGGAAAGGGCGGTCCTGCACAGATGCCATATTTTCTGTCCGTCTGCTACAGCAGAGGTGTAGGGAATTCCAACAAGACCTACATCTCTGCTTTATTGACCTGGTCAAGGCCTATGATACCATCATTAGGCCTGGGCTCTGGGTAGTTCTTCGTGCTTTCGGAGTCCCTGACTCTTTGCTCACGATCATTAAGGACCTTCATGATGGTGAGCGGGCCCGGGTAAAACTACGTGGCCGGGAGTCAGAGCCATTCCCTGTACACCTTGGGGTGCGACAGGGATGTCCTCTGGCTCCCACATTAATTAACATCTATTTCGACCACGTAGTTTGTGAAGCCTTCAATAGCTGTACTGGGGGAATCTCCATATGGTACAGATATAATGGGAGGCTGATCGATGTCCGGGAGCGGTCAGGGGATGGCTCCCTATTACTCAACCACGTTATGTATGCCGATGATTTGGTAATAGCTGCTCATTCAGAGGAGGAGTTGGAGACGGTGCTGCTGAGACTGGAGCGTGGTTCTAAGAGATGGGGCCTTACCATCAGCCCCACCAAAACTAAGCACCTTCCTGGGTATTTTGTACCATCGGACACTCCACCCCCACAACTCCCAATCGGTGATGGGGCAGTTGTGGAGAGAGTGGAGAGTTTCCCATACCTGGGCAGTGTGCTTATGACTGGCTCCAGTTTAACAGCAGAGGTCTCACTCCGAATCAGTCGAGCGGCAATATCTTTTCATCGGTTGCGTAACGCTGTGTGGAAGCTACCTGGTCTGTCGCTCCGCACTAAGCTTCAGGTCTTCTCGGCCACGGTCATTCCCTCCCTTCTCTACGCTTGCGAAACGTGGACCCCCCTAATGGAACATCTTCGCCGGTTAGAAACATTTAGGCTGGCCTGCCTACGATCCATCCTGGGTTTAACCAGGCTGGATTGTGTGAGGAGCTCACAAATCCTTGAAAGATCTGGGCAAGGTCCCATCGGTGAGCTCCTCCGGCAGGCAAGGCTGCGTTGGCGATAGGGCAGCAGTTGTGGACAGAGTGGAGAGTTTCCCAAAGCCTGTGGATTTTTCTCTGGGTCCTCCGGTTTCTCCCCTCCACATTTAAGAATCGACGTCACCACCACGCTGTCCTAGAGTTGTTTGGCTGCTGCCGCTGCTGCTGCTGCTGTAGATTCACACGTGGTGGTGACGATGGCGCTGGTGATGGTGACGACGACGATGATGATGATGATATCAGCCACTTTGTTTAAGCTGTTGTGATGGGCCAGGTCGCTTCTGAAAAAGAGCTCCTACACATCATCTCAGTGGTGGGGCTGGTGGTGGTGGTGGTGGAGGTGGTGGTGGTGGTGAAGGAGGTGGAGGTGGTAATGGTGGAGTTGGTGGTGGAGGTGGTGGTGCTAGTGGTGGTTGTACATGTGGTGGAGGTGGTGGTGGTGCATGTGGTGGTGGAGGTGGTGGTGGTACAGGTGGTGGTGGTACAGGTTGTGGTGCTAGTGGTGGTGGAGGTGGTGGTGGTGGTAATACAGGTGGTGGTGGTACTAGTGGTGGTGGAGGTGGTGGTGGTACAGGTGGTGGTGGAGGTGGTGGTGCTGGTGGTGGTGGTGCTGGTGGTGGTACATGTGGTGGTGGAGGTGGTGGTGGTACAGGTGGTGGTGGTGCTAGTGGTGGTGGAGGTGGTGATGGTACAGGTGGTGGTGGAGGTGGTGGTGCTGGTGGTTGGGGTAAACCCGTGCCACCTTTGTCTCTCTCTGTGTGTGAGCCCGCAGGAGTCTAAGTTGGAGTCACGGGACTTCCAGGCGGTGAAGGCGTCTCCTACAATGTCACCATCATCATCACCATCAATTCACTACTAACATAATCACCACCACCATCACGACCACATCACGACCATCACCATAATCATCGTGACTACTATCACCACCACATCACTAACATCACCACCACTATCACTACCACCATCACTACTATCACTACCACCACCACTACTACCACCACTATCACTACCATCACCACTATCACTACCATCACCACTACTATCACTACCATCACCATGATCATCATAGGGGCTGATCTTGCTACTCGCTACTAACAACACTTGCCCCTACAGCCTACTAGAGGCTACACGGGGGACCTTTGTCTTTCTTTCTATTGGGCACTGCTACTCGCTACTCACAGCACTTGCCCCTACAGTCCTGCTAGAGGCTACACGGGGGACCGTTGTCTTTGTGTCTATAGGGCACTGCTGCTACTAACAGCACTTGCCTCTACAGCCCTGCTAGAGGCTACACGGGGGACCTTTGTCTGTGTGTCTATAGGCACTGCTACTCGCTACTCACAGCACTTGCCCCTACAGCCTGCAAGAGGCTTCACGGGGACCTTTGTCTTTGCACCACACACGTCTCTCAGGATTGCACAAGTGCTTTGGGGGTGAAATTTTGGGGCAATGTGATTGGGTGAAGTTCCTAATAAAGTTTATCGGTGTTCTGCACGATGACTGCCCGTCCACGACTTTGATTGTCCGGATTAAGATGTCTCTGTGTGTGAGTGGTCTGTGGGTCTCTGTGTGAGTAGTCTGTGGGTCTCTACTGTGTGAGTAGTCTGTGGGTCTCTACTGTGTGAGTAGTCTGTGGGTCTCTACTGTGTGAGTAGTCTGTGGGTCTCTACTGTGTGAGTAGTCTGTGGGTCTCTACTGTGTGAGTAGTCTGTGGGTCTCTACTGTGTGAGTAGTCTGTGGGTCTCTACTGTGTGAGTAGTCTGTGGGTCTCTACTGTGTGAGTAGTCTATGGGTCTCTACTGTGTGAGTAGTCTGTGGGTCTCTACTATGTGAGTAGTCTGTAGGTTTCTGTGTGTGAGTAGTCTGTGGGTCTCTACTGTGTGAGTAGTCTATGTGTCTCTACTGTGTCAGTAGTCTATGGGTCTCTGTGTGTGGGTGTGAGTAGTTTGTGGGTCTCTGTGTGTGAGGAGTCTATGGGTCTATGTTTGTGTGTGAGTAGTCTAAGGGTCTCTACTGTGTTAGTAGTCTATGGGTCTCTGTGTGTGTAGTCTAAGGGTCTCTACTGTGTGAGTAGTATGTGGTTCTCTACTGTGAGTAGTCTGTGGGTCTCTACTGTGTGAGTAGTTTGTGGGTCTCTGTGTGAGTAGTCTGTGGGTCTCTTTGTGAGTGGTCTGTGGGTCTCTGTGTGAGTAGACTGTCTAGGTCTCTGTGTGTGTGAGGAGTCTATGGGTCTCTGTGTGTGTGAGTAGTCTATGTGTCTCTACTGTGTGAGTAGTCTGTGGGTCTCTACTGTGTGAGTAGTCTATGGGTCTCTACTGTGTGAGTAGTCTGTGGGTCTCTACTGTGTGAGTAGTCTGTAGGTCTCTGTGTGTGAGTAGTCTGTGGGTCTCTACTGTGTGAGTAGTCTATGTGTCTCTACTGTGTCAGTAGTCTATGGGTCTCTGTGTGTGGGTGTGAGTAGTTTGTGGGTCTCTGTGTGTGAGGAGTCTATGGGTCTATGTTTGTGTGTGAGTAGTCTAAGGGTCTCTACTGTGTTAGTAGTCTATGGGTCTCTGTGTGTGTAGTCTAAGGGTCTCTACTGTGTGAGTAGTATGTGGTTCTCTACTGTGAGTAGTCTGTGGGTCTCTACTGTGTGAGTAGTTTGTGGGTCTCTGTGTGAGTAGTCTGTGGGTCTCTTTGTGAGTGGTCTGTGGGTCTCTGTGTGAGTAGACTGTCTAGGTCTCTGTGTGTGTGAGGAGTCTATGGGTCTCTGTGTGTGTGTGAGTAGTCTATGTGTCTCTACTGTGTGAGTAGTCTGTGGGTCTCTACTGTGTGAGTAGTCTATGGGTCTCTACTGTGTGAGTAGTCTGTGGGTCTCTACTGTGTGAGTAGTCTGTAGGTCTCTGTGTGTGAGTAGTCTGTGGGTCTCTACTGTGTGAGTAGTCTATGTGTCTCTACTGTGTCAGTAGTCTATGGGTCTCTGTGTGTGGGTGTGAGTAGTTTGTGGGTCTCTGTGTGTGAGGAGTCTATGGGTCTATGTTTGTGTGTGAGTAGTCTAAGGGTCTCTACTGTGTTAGTAGTCTATGGGTCTCTGTGTGTGTAGTCTAAGGGTCTCTACTGTGTGAGTAGTATGTGGTTCTCTACTGTGAGTAGTCTGTGGGTCTCTACTGTGTGAGTAGTTTGTGGGTCTCTGTGTGAGTAGTCTGTGGGTCTCTTTGTGAGTGGTCTGTGGGTCTCTGTGTGAGTAGACTGTCTAGGTCTCTGTGTGTGTGAGGAGTCTATGGGTCTCTGTGTGTGTGTGAGTAGTCTATGTGTCTCTACTGTGTGAGTAGTCTGTGGGTCTCTACTGTGTGAGTAGTCTGTGGGTCTCTACTGTGTGAGTAGTCTGTGGGTCTCTACTGTGTGAGTAGTCTGTGGGTCTCTACTGTGTGAGTAGTCTATGGGTCTCTACTGTGTGAGTAGTCTATGGGTCTTTACTGTGTGAGTAGTGTGTGGGTCTCTACTGTGAGAGCAGTCTTTGGATCTCTACTGTGTGAGTAGTCTGTGGGTCTCTGGGTGTGTGAGTAGTCTGTGGGTCTCTACTGTGTGAGTAGTCTGTGGGTCTCTGTGTGTGTGAGTAGTCTGTGGGTCTCTGTGTGTGTGAGTCGTAACAGCTACAGGGGCATCTCACTCCTCAGTGTGCCGGGAAAGGTCCTGGCAAGGATTATTCAGCATCGCCTTGCCAGGCACGCTGAGGAGAGGCTTGCGGAGAACCAATGCAGTTTCAGGAAATGGCGGTCCTGCACAGATGCCATATTTTCTGTCCGTCTGCTACAGCAGAGGTATAGAGAATTCCAACAAGACCTACATCTCTGCATTATTGACCTGGTCAAGGCCATTAGTAGGCCTGGGCTCTGGGTTATTTTTCGTGCTTTTGGAGTCCCTGACCCTCTGCTCACGATCATTAAAAACCTTCACGATGGTGAGCGATCCCGGGTAAAACTACGTGGCCGGGAGTCAAAGCCATTCCCTGTACACCTTGGGGTGCGACAGGGATTTCCTCTGGCTCCAACATTATTTAACATCTATTTTGACCACGTAGTCCGTGAAGCCTTCAATAGCTGTAGCGTGGGAATCTCCATTTGGTACAGATATAATGGGAGGCTGATCGATGCTCGGGTGTGGTCAAGGGATGGCTCCCTATTGCTCAGCCACGTTACGTATGCCGATGATTTGGAGCGACAGACCAGGTAGTTTCCACACAGCGTTACGCAACCGATGAAAAGATATTGCCGCTCGACTGATTCGGAGTGAGACCTCTGCTGTTAAACTGGAGCCGGTCATAAGCACACTCCCAGGTATGGGAAACTCTCCACTCTCTCCACAACTGCCCCTTCACCGATTGGGAGTTGTGGCGGTGGAGTGTCCGATGGTACAAAATACCCAGGCAGGTGCTTAATATTGGTGGGGCTGATGGTAAGTCACCATCTCTTAGTGGCACGCTCCAGTCTCAGCAGCAGCGTCTCCAACTCCTCCTCTGAATGAGCAGCTATTACCAAATCATCGGCATACATAACGTGGTTGAGCAATAGGGAGCCATCCCTTGACCGCACCTGGGCATCGATCAGCCTCCGATTATATCTGTACCAAATGGAGATTCCCCCGGTACAGCTATTGAAGGCTTCACAAACTACTTGGTCAAAATAGATGTTAAATAATGTGGGAGCCAGAGGACATCCCTGTCGCACCCCAAGGTGTACAGGGAATGGCTCTGACTCCCGGCCACGTAGTTTTACCCGGGCCCGCTCACCATCATGAAGGTCCTTAATGATTGGGAGCAGAGGGTCAGGGACTTGAAAAGCACGAAAAACAACCCAGAGCTCAGGGCTACTGATGGTATCATAGGCCTTGACCAGGTCAATAAAGCAGAGATTTAGGTCTTGCTGGAATTCCCTACTCCTCTGCTGTAGCAGACGGACAGAAAATATGGCATCTGTGCAGGATCGCCCTTTCCTGAAACCGCATTGGGGCTCCGCAAGCCTCTCCTCAGCGTGCCTGGCAAGGCGATGTTGAATAATCCTTGCCAAGATTTTTCCCGGCACACTGAGGAGTGAGATGCCCCTGTAGTTGTTACAGTCTGTGCGGTCCCCCTTCTTAAAGAGGGGGACCACCAGGGCATCCTTCCAATCCTGCGGAACCCATCCAGTGGTCCAGACTGTTGTTATGATGTCATATAGGGCAGTCTGTGCACAAACGCCGCCCTCCCTCAGCATTTCGCTTGGGAGATCATCTCTGCCCGCTGCCTTTCCTGGTCTCAGACTCCGGATCGCCTTCATCACTTCCTCAACAGATGGCACCTCAGCCAGCCACTCACAGGGGGTGACTTATTCTTAGTTTTTTCGGTAAAGTCACGTTGAAGAGAAACAACAAAATAATAAAATATATATAAAACAATAAAAAATTCTCACGACGTTTCGACCATAACTCAAACGGTCATCTTCAGGTGTGTTGGTTTGCATACATTTATTTTTAAACGGCGCATTTATTTATTTATAAAAAACGTTAGCGCCACGCGCAGCGATTTGGCAGTTTACCCAGGACAGTCCATCTATATTCTGAAAAGAGGAGGGGGGAGACGAAATTTTTTATAATGTATGCTGTCTGAAAGCCACTGTAAGCATGAACAATCAATTAAGAACTGAAATGGTTTATCAAATCTTTCCAATGATTGCTAAGATAGAATCCATCTTCTCGGTTGAAATTGTCTCTGTGCTTGTATATGTGGATAGCCTCATGAACGAATCTCTCATGGAAGCCAGATGGCTTACAAAGAACCTCTGTCTTGGAAAAGTCAATGGCATGTGAGCCTACTGAATTAGAACAATGATCTGCTACGGCCGAGGTGTTGGTCCTACCGTGTTTAAGGTCTGCTTTGTGTTCACGAATGCGGTCCGAGACATGGCGTTTGGTTTCTCCAATGTAACTACTAC